GATTAAAGTAATAATTCTTAGAAATCTCTAATGTGTTCTAGGTACATATGTAATACGAATGTTTTCCACCTGCAAAGCCATTATCTTTGCCTCTCAGTATTACTTGTCAGAAGTCATTTTCTTATGTATTCAAAGGCAACAGAAACTGACGTCACTTCCTGAGAGCTTCTACTTGGCCTTTTGCTTATCCTCTCTTGTCTGGCTTCCATTTTCTCTTTTTTTTCTTGTCTGGCTTCATGCCATGATATTGGGTGCTATCAGGAGTGTCCACTTCTTTTGTTGCTAATCACCGCTCACATTTCTGGAAGTATTGTCCTATTTTGATACAAAACCACTACCCTCATGCTGCCTTCAAAATTCATGTGTGAGAAGAGGATTGGCTGCTTCATCTCAAGTGTAGACCTGCCTGCCCTTGAGCTTCCCATGACATCAGCTAAATCGTGTCCATTCTGCAAAACCAATTCTGTTGTCATAATTTGAAGCACTGTGCATCATAGGGAAGGGGAAGATCCCTTAAACCTGAATGTGAAATTTGACACTTCCAATGTTCAAGAAAAAAAGAAACACATGTTCACTTATCACAAGAAAGTCTTAACTGGTGTCTCGCAGATCCTGGGGGTGTTTCCTTCTATTTAGAGGCCTCTCTTATTTGTCTCTCTCTCTTCAAAGACATGAAATAATTCTTAATTTCTGTGATGCCAATCAATTTTTTCTCTGGAAAAACGTGACCTCAGTTCCAAAAGTTTATTTTGCCCATAGAGTCCATTCTGGTCAACCTTCCCCTGAAGATCTATAGAGCATGATAATCAATGTGACTATTTTTCTAAAACTTTGAATTATTTGACCTGGAATTACACCATAAGGTAGAATACATCAAGTGTGAGCTTGCACTGTGTGTGTGTGGCGTGGTGTGGTGTGTGTGTGTGTGTGTCCTGTGAAGGGAGAGGTATTGATCTATGTTCTCACTCAATATGGGGTAAAGTCAACCCCTCAATTGTTCCTATTGTCTTCAGTGTTTATTTCTGGACTTTTAAGATAACACTTGGACAAAGCAAATGGACACACACACACACACACACACAAACCCACACATCCTAAGGGTAAACAATAATTACCAGAATAAGTACAATGTAATTGGAATTAACTGCGGGCGGGGGAGACTTTTTCCTAAAGGCACAATTATTTATCCAAATTGTCCCCACCCCGATAAAGATAGCTTGCATATTACTATATAGAACTGTTTTAATTATACTTTTTTCCCCCCTCCTTAGCCTTCTTTTTCTATACTCCTCACTGGGCCTTAACCATTAATTAAAAAGAGGTTAATTATACCATTCTTCTCAGCTGAATAATAGCAACTGTCCTTTGACTTGATAAGCATGTCCTGGTAGGAAATAGGTGGCCCACTCAAATGGGGAAAATTTAATGAAGGAAAATATAATACAAAGGAGAGGACAGGGTTAATGGAAACCAATAGTGCCTGGCTAGGGACAGTTGGGAGCCTGAGAGTTGATGCCTGTAGGAGCTATTAGAAGAACTGGAAGAAACTAGTTGCAGGTGAGTACCACTCCATTAGAACTGTGGCTCTGGGGAGCAAGGGAACCAACTTTGAAGTGATTTAGAGGATGAACTCTGGTGGAATAAGTACCCTGATCTTTCTTCTCTCTCTGTCTCCTCGTCCTCTGTCAACTTTTTTCTTTCCACTGTGTGCCCCAAACCACCTTTGACCAAAGCTGACCAGAAGCCAGTGAACAAGGTGGCCACTACTACATACCTTCTGTGGTTGGATCTGAGTACAAAGAAAGGACAAAAAGGCAGCAGATGGAAAACATTTCATGGAGGTGGTAGTGGTTTAGTCGCCAAGTCATGTCTAACTCTTGTGACCCCATGGACTGTGGCCCACCAGGCTCCTCTGTCCATGGGATTCTCTAGGCAAGAGTACTGGAGTGGGTTACCATGTTCTTCTCCAGGGGATCTTCCTGACCCAGGGATCGAACCCAGGTCTTCTGCATTGCAGGCAGATACTTGACTGATTGAGCTATAAGGGAAACCCCCAAAGACCTCATACATCTCCTTAACTTTTAGTCTCCCCTTCCCATAATCTCATTAAAGTGGTAGAAATGGATTTTAAAAGTCCCAATTCTTTGTCCAAAACAGAGTTCCATCCATGATTGAGAGATCTAAACTTGTTTATGAAAGATTCGGTGGACAAAGACTGAAGAGCATAGAAACAGACCGTGCAGCACAGGAAGACAGGACTTAATATAGCAGAGAGCGGATGGTGATAAAAAAGGAAGTTCATCTGCCCGGAAAGACCCTTTAGAAACATGGTGGCTGATCTGATGGAGGATGGGAGTACAGAGTGGGACAGAAAAAATGCAGGCTATATAAAATCTTTAAATAATGAGGAGAGGCATACAAATAGTGATACAGTTATAAAAAAAAATGAAAGCTAGTGGAAAATAAATATTCATCGATTACAGAAGAAAGTCAATAGATGATGTCTAAAGTGAATAAAACAGCAAGTGATGACATGTACATATAATTTATAGATTTGGAGGTAACCACAGAAGAACTAAATACATATAGAGTTCAGAATATTCTGGAAGGAGGAAGACGGGGAATGGCATGTAGGTCAGTTGCTTCTCACTATAGTAAGTCTTTTTGCATTAATTAGTTTTTGGAAACCATGTGAATATATAATTTTAATAAAAGCTCCTTTTGTTCCTTTTTTTTTTTTTTTTTGGCTCCACTTAGTTTGCTGACTATAGAAATTTCCTTCTTTGTATGGTTAGGTCCATTAGCTGTCTTAAAGCTAAAAAATAATTTGGTTTTCTCCTAGGCATCTCCTTCTCTCCATTCTTTATAACCCTCTCTGTGTTCTTCCTCCAGCCACCAGAAGCTCCCTCACACAAGCCCCAGACATGTACATCTTTCTCCTGGATGCAGTTATGTTATCATTCTCTGTAAAGTCCATGCACTCTTACAACTTTGTGTCTTTTCTCAAACTGTTTCTTTGACCTGAAATGGCTTCAGACTTTAATTTTTTTCTTTTTTTTTGAATTAAATACAGTTGTGTTAGTTTCTTCTGCAAAGTGATTCAGTTGTATGTATGTGTGTGTATATATATATATATATACACACATATATATATATATGTATGTATTCTTTTTAAAAATATAGCTTTCCCATTATGGTTTATCATAGAATATTGAGTATAGTTCTCTGTGCTATACAAGAGGATCTTCTTATTTATCCATCCTGTATATAATAGTTTACATCTGCTAATCCCAAACTCCCAATTTTTCTCCCCATAGAAATTTCCTTCTTTGTATGGTTAGGTCCATTAGCTGTCTTAAAGGTAAAAAATAATTTGGTTTTCTCCTAGGCATCTCCTTCTCTCCATTCTTTATAACCCTCTCTGTGTTCTTCCTCCAGCCACCAGAAGCTCCCTCACACAAGCCCCACGCACGTACATCTTTCTCCTGAATGCAGTTATGTTATCATTCTCTGTAAAATCCATGCACTCTTACAACTTTGTGTCTTTTCTCAAACTGTTTCTTTGACCTAAAATGGCTCCAGACTTTAATTTTTTTCTTTTTTTTTTTGAATTGAAATACAGTTGTGTTAGTTTCTTCTGCAAAGTGATTCAGTTGTATGTATGTATGTGTGTGTGTATATATATATATATATATATATATATATATATATGTATTCTTTTTAAAAATATAGTTTTCCCATTATGGTTTATCACAGAATATTGAGTGTAGTTCTCTGTGCTATACAAGAGGATCTTCTTATTTATCCATCCTGTATATAATAGTTTACATCTGCTAATCCCAAACTCCCAATTTTTCTCCCCCGCCACCCTGCCTTGACAACCACAAATCTGTTTTCTATGTCTGTGAGTCTGTCTGTTTCACAGAGGTTCCTTTGTGTCATATTTTAGATTCCACATATAAGCAATATCATCTTGTATCTGTGTTTTGCTTTCTGAAAAAAAAGATTGTTTTTCTACTTATCCCTCAAATGCCAGAATAAAATCTACCTTCTCTAGGAACTGTCTTTGGTTTCCCCACATGATTATGCTTTCTTCTGTACTCTCCTAATACTGTGCCAGTGTCTGACACATCTCACTCTGCAAAGCCTCATAACTAGGTGTGTATCTGTCTGCCCCTTCTTCTCTCCATTTCATTGTGAATTCAAGAATTTGTATCTGTGTATCGAGCACAATATCTTACACATGGTAATTGAAATAGTTGCTAAGCACTGTCATTGATTTTGGAAGTAGTTGTTGATTAGAAGGCATCTAAAGATTAGAAAATGAATGCCCCACACATTAAAGTGAACATCAGCTGTCTTCTTATCCAGGTGCCCATTACTACTTCTGTGGGTCAGCAAAATAATCAGGAAGATAATGTTTTGTTCTGTTGTGATTTTACTGCCTCTTCTCTAAATTCTAATTATACGCATATTACCTCAGGTTGTGAGGAATAAGAAATCTAATAAACTAATTCCCATAAATAAATATGTTAGTGATGTATTAATTTTAATAAGTGTTTGCATAGTAAAAAGTAGCCTAAAGAAGGAAGTACCCCACCTAAGGGAGAGGATTGCTTTTGGTAAAACGTTAACTCCCTGAGCTGTTGCTTTGAGATCAAAGAGCGTTTCTGGGGCCTCTCAGATTATGCTGTGGGACTTTTATGCAAAATATAATATAGATTCTGATTAATTAAAGTATATTATCCGTGGGAAACAATATTCCCATATTAGAACATACAGATTTGAAATCACAGTTAGTAAGTGTGATGTGTCTTTCTCATAGAAGTAAGGCTGAGTATTAATCTCTGGTTTTTTCTTGTTATTTTCATTTCCCAGGTAGCCTTTCCATGGGTCCGTCTTTTTTTCTTCTTTTTCTTTATTCAATTGCTCCCTATCCCTGGACTTTTCTTTGCCTCCACATAAAAGGGCACTATTATTTTATTTTTCCTTTACTTCAGGAAATGCTACAATAAAACAGTCTCGGTATAGGATTATCATCCAAGAAGCAGCCAACGGAGGCCAAGAATGCCCAGATACCTTATTTGAAGAGCGAGAGTGTGAAGATGTGACATTGTGCTCCACATATCGGTAATTAATTGCTTTCAAAATAATCATTAGACCTTAGTATAAGCCATGACCTATTTGCTCTTATATAGTGTGTGGTTATTATATGAAACACTTGTAGTGAGAAATACAAAGAGGTAGTATTTTTTTATCTTCACATATCTCACTATTTTCCCCTTTACTGAAGTATATTTTGAGAGAGTAAACAGTGTGAAAGTCTAATTTAAAATGAAAAAGGTTAACAACCACTTTTTGATTGCAGTTGAGCTGCTTGACTTCAGCCACCCAGGTAATCAGCTTTCAGGATTAGAATTCAAAGATATGCAGGTTGAGGTCCTTACTGGACATGCACAAACACACAACTTACCTCATTCTATTTTTCTCATCCTAAAGCCTTTAATCAAGAACTAAGAACAAATGTATACTGCCTTAATAGTTGTTTATTTTAGTTCAAAAATGGTTTTGGTTCTCAATTTTTGTCATGTACACATTTTAAGAAATCTTAGGAAAAAAGCTTAACCTATGGGTAATTTTTTGTCTTTAGAAAAAGAAAGTGAGTAACATTTAAACTATATATGTTACCTATATTTGCCCCTCTGGGAAGTAAGTGATTATTATTTATAAAAACAGTACCTGAGGTTTGTGTATTTAGTCATAAACTCTCATTCTTTTAACATAAGATTGAAGCACTGCTTTAAAGTACTAATACTTCTGGATTAAATTCAGTCACTGTTGGGTTTTACTGATTTGTGGAAACAAGCCCAGGGTCTTAATAACCGTGTTGTTATCAGCACACTTAAAAATGCCTTTATTCGAAATGTCTAGGGTTTTCCCTGATTGAGAAACTGTATCTTAAATCTATATGATTCAAGAGCTAATTTTTTCTAGAGACTTCCTGGTGGTCCAATGGCTAAGACTCCAAGCTCCCAATGTAAGGGGCCCAGCCTCGATCTCTGGTCAGGGAACTAGATCGCACATGCCACACCTAAGAGTTCACATGCCTCAACTAAAGATCTCACATGCTGTAACAAAGACCTGGTGCAACCAAATAAATAAATAAAAACAAATATGCTTTTTAAATGAGCTAATTTATTCTGGAAAATGTAAGTTTTGTTGTGTTTTGTTTTTTAAGAAGGCCTCCCATTAGCTAGAAAGAAGCCCCAATCATGATCAGTTTCATCATCATTTCCTCCCTTTGTTTCTATCTAACAACCAGTTTGGGAAAGGCATGAATCAGCACTGGAACAAGCCCAGACTGCCAGTATTTCTTCATCAACCGCCAGGCCATTGTGGGAACACTGTCAATATCCATCCTTTTGTGCCACGTTTAAATATTGAAACTTCTAGCTCAGTGAAAGAGCTCTCAGAGAAAGTAGTCAATTGAAAAAAAAAATTAGCCAAATCAAATAATGTTAGACATTTCTGAACCCAGTGCTGTTATAATCAGAGAAAATCTTGGAAACTGTTAGTGGTCTCTCTTCCTACTATCCACTCTATTTGCCCTCATGTGATCCTTCAGTGTAGCCACTCAATCTTGAACTAGTTTCCATAAATGACCCCCTGCCATTTTCCCAAGAAATGAGTTCCACTCTGCCTGGATTGCCTGATTGTATCATGTCTCCTGATGCTGATAAGTGTGTCCAACTTATCAGCACGAGTCTCTTAGTCAAACACCCTTGAATTTTGAACATCCAGTTCCTCTTTAGGTTTTACCTTCCCTTCATTGGTTGGAGAGGCAAGTTAATGTAGACCTTTATCATTTTCTCCTGACTCCTCTTTTCTTTACTCCATTAAGTTGAGACATTCACAATTTAAAACAGAATCACAATGTCTATAGAATTTTTTCTATGAATTTGAGCATTTCCCACCATGTTAATTTTAAGTTAGTGTTAGAGGAAATTTTCCCCTCTACGCTTCATGAGTTCTTATAGTTTGCTTAATAATAAAAGTGACATGAGATAGATTATCAAGAGATAGGTTACTATTAAAATGCAACAAGTGTTAATTCATATGCATAGAGATCCCATAGAAATTGAACCTAAGAAGTAGCCAAAGCAGGCAGCTTTTATACTGTTTAGACAAAGAAACAATAAATTAGTAAAGAATTGATGGGATGAAGAAATGTAGGCTTTGGGTGCTCAATCCGTGAAAACTCTAAACAGTCTGAGCTTGGGGTAGTAAATTTTAAAAGTACCAAGGTTTATATAGCCTAAATTCCCTAGTGGTAAGGATTTCCTTCTACCTCCAAATGTGGGTGGGAAGGGCACCTCTCACAGGAGAGAATTATTTTCTGCTTTCAAGGGGAAGTGGAAGGAAGGAGGCAGAAGGAAGGAAGCAGAAGGAAGGGCAGAGTGTCCCTCTTGTGTTGGGCATTTCTTAAGTAACTTTCATTCAAGAGAGGCAATATGCAATTGAGTCATATTTGGGATGGCTGACAATGCAAGCAAAAGGGAAGACAGTGTGGGTGATATACCCCTAAATAGAATTGGCAGTGGGATGTCTCCAAGAGTCTGTGGCTGATCATCTAAGGATTTAGGACTGACAGCTTGCCTGCCCTTTCACATGCAATCTCAGGCATGTCACGTAAGCTCCCTGAGCCCAGGCTTATCCTTCTAAAACTGTGAATCTAACAAGATTTCTGGACATTTTCCCCTTCTATTTAGCTCACTAAGCTGAATTGAATTCCTTGGTCTCACTTTAGTAAGTATTTTAAGAACTTGAAGGATGTGAGTGAATGACATATCCCAGTTGAAAAGCTAGACTAAACTCCCTTACCATTTCTGTGTCTGTGTTTTAGAATTATACTTAAAGAGCCTATGCATCTACAAAGCAAATTTCTAACTACTTAAAAAGTAATAGGTGATTTTTTTTTTTTAATGGGACAGGTTTTTCTGTTGTTTCCTGGTTCCTCACCAGTTCTTCAGTTGTTTTCAATATGGAAGCCACTTGAATGAGGTCACTGATATTTAGTTTTTTTTTACTTTTACATTTTAATGTACTTTGCTTTATTCTGCAAGACAGTCTGTATCTATCTCTTAACACCCTCACTGCCTCACCTCCAGTAAGTGAGACTCACTTAGTCTAGACAGAGAAGAAGGTGGTGATTGCTGAGATAAACTATGTTAATTAATTAATATGTGGGTTATACTAAGTTATCTTCACATGCTATATTAATCTATGTTCACATAACTAAGAGGGTTCCTTAAGGTGATTTTTCCTGAGGAAAGGAAGTCTACTCCATGTTCTGTTATACATTATTCTTTCTCTGCTGAGATTTCTTTATTATTGTGATAAAAATCATATAACATAAAAGTTACATTTTGACCTTTTTTTTCCTGAATTAGCTTCTTTTAATGGAAGTATAGTTGATTTACAATGTTGTACCAATCCATAATGGAAAAGGATATTAGAAAAAGAATGCATGTATGTGTAAACCTGGACCATCTGGCTATACAGCAGAGATTGCCATCTTAACCATTTTTAAGTGTACAATTCTGTAGTTTTAATTGTGTGCACTCTGATGTACAACAGCTCTCTAGATGTTTTCATCCTGCCACACTGCTCAATAATATTTTTGCCTAATGGTTCTGTTTCATTTTTTTTTTAATCAGCACCTCTTATCAGAGGTATTGGATTATGTGAAAAAGTACAAAAATGTACTCAGTGAAAGAGCAAAATCTGTGGCTACATTTAGGGTTTGGGTTTTCTGGAACATTCCAAAGACACAGGTTTAAGGGCTCAGGTCATAGTCTTCCCTGCAGGTCATAAAAGTATAGTTCTATTCACCTTAAACAAACACACACACACACACATACACACACACACACACACACACACATGCAGGGAAGCCAGAAGGATTCCTTACATACTCTTTCCTCTGTGGAGAAGAAATATGGGTCATTCCTCAGAGACAGTTCCAGTTCTCTTCTCTGAGAGAAACTATCACATAGATAAGTCCCTATGGCCTCCTGCCTTGTCTTTACTCTATAACCTATTGAGATGTTTGAGCTACCCTAAAATCCTAGGAAACACCTTGTAAAAATTTTGAAGCAGAAAATCAAGTATGAAGGCTTGTACCTAAAATTTTCAGATGTTCACACCTTGATTCTCTAATGCTCAGATAGGACATAGGAATTTTCTCTCTTTGATTTTTTTTTTTATATTGTTTTTCTTTAAACAATTTTAAGTTCATACAGAGCTAAACCTTCTAGATTTGATCTGTGCCTCTAATGTTTCTTTATGGCCACTTTGCTATATCCACTAAGGCTTATGTGCAAAATGTCCACATTTTTAAAAAATGGAATTACTGCTTTAACTATGGATGTGGGGCAGAGAGACTGATGCCATCCCTAATGTGTGCCAGGGCTCCCTTTTATGACATTGGTTTCAAATCCATTTTTATTGAATTACTACCTTTATGCTTTGGGTTTCAAATTCACCTATTTCCAGTATTTCTTTTGTATGTTTGCCATGGTGAAATTTCTAGTCTGCTGTTCTTTGTCATCACAGATGGAGGCCACAGAAATGGAGCCCCTGTATCCTAGTGCCAGAGTCTGTCAGGCAGGGAGTAATGGGCACCAGTGAAGCCTGCGGAAAGGGGGTGCAAACAAGAGGTAAGGGAATTTCAAAACAGTTTTTCTAATCAAATGTAATTCAAAATTATAGTGCTTTTATAAATTGTTATCTGTTTTTATATTTGGATAAGTTATGATTTTACTGGATTAGATTGTTTATGAGTGCTTGAGTTTAAGGTTGGCATTAGTTAGTGCTGATATTAAACCACCTTTTGACCATAACTAGCTAGTGCACCTAGGGACTAATGCAATGTAAGAAAGTATATGTTCTCAGTCATTAGCATACCCTATCTGATGGTCCAAATGCACAATGGATATTAGTCAAAGAATGAAGGGATGTGCTGAAATTGGGTCTGATAATATATTGTACATTTTAGATGCTCATTAATGAATGAATTCATTGCTGAATGAATTAACTAATCATAGCAATCATGACTTACAGCTGATTATTTTGTACGTACTTGCTGTATGTTTCATACGGAATATGCATAGAAAGGAAATATTAAAATTTCTGGTGCTTGCTTCAGTAGCACATATACTGAAATTGGGCCAATACAGAGAAGATTAGCATTTCTCCTGTATAATGATGACATGCAGATTTGTGATACACTCCATATTTTAAAATTTTTCTGGAAGATCTTGTGAATTGACTTCTGGATCTGCCTATAAGTGCCTTTTATCATCAATGTCTAGAAGGTGTGGCATATTGAAATCTCTGAAAAGCACTCAGAAACTCATCAGGTTGCTCACTGTTCTGTTTCATTCAGAATTCGCATGCCAGTTATATAAGGCTTAACAAGAAGGCTTTGTTCTTAAAATCTGACCACTCTGTCACTAAAGGGATGTATATCGCGAAACTCAGGCCTTGTAGGACCAGCTATGTATCACTGGTTTCATAATTCAGCTGAAAAGCATATTGAGAATTATTTCTCTTCCTATTGCATAGGTTATCATATTAGTCAGGATCAGTCAGCCAGCATAACTCCCTTCTTTGTTGATTCTAAAGTGTAAGAAGCCCAATGTGGGTGGGTGGCAGTTTTAAATTCCAGTTCAAGGAAATCATAGCTATGTTTTTAGTGGAAGCATTCCTCCCTCTGGAAATAAGACCTTTAGGGCAACAGAACATAAGACTTCAGAGGAACTGGAAGCAAATATTTTACTAATGGATCACTAGGAATAAGAGTAAGCTATGCCAGTGCCATCTCCACCCTTGACTCCTGGACCTGCGAATCCTGGATATGGGAGAAAAAAGGAAAACACCACATGTTGGATGCTTCTGGAAAACTTTTCCCTAGCCCTGCAAGATATTGCCCCCTAACTGGTGCTGTAACTAAGTCTTCAAAAGACCTTTTCACCATTATATCAAACCAAGATGGTGGGGGACTTGGTAAGACCAGTAGAATCAATGAGATGGGCACATTGCCAGGTCTCAATTGCTGGAAAGTGAGATCCTTGATCCAAAATAATGTTGCGTGGAATATCACGATGGACAAGGTGTCCTGTAAGTCCATGGATGGTAGTATCAACTGAAAAAAATGCAGCAGCTTGAGAATGGTGAGTTAAGTAGCTGAGGAGCTATTCCAGAGAGGGAGTCGGGGAGGTGGATATTATGTATATGTTTATAGTGAAGGGGGATACATTTTATCAAGCACACCTTTTGCCAGAAACTTGCTGCTAGTCTTGAGGAGTAGATGTCTTTGTTAGTGATTTCAGTGCTTTGCTAGATATAAGATGCAAGAATTTGAGCTCACAAAATCTTCTCTTGAAAATACGTAACTATCTGAAGGCCTTCTCTGCTAGTTTATCACAGAGCACAGAGTGCCTCATTGCTGATCATTGCCCTGAACTCCTTTCTGAGTGTGTTGAAGGTCAGTGACTGCAGTGGCTAGTGACTTCATCCTTGTAAAGGCAGATGGCAAGTGATCAGTTTTATCTTGCAGTGGGTAATTTTGATAGAAGCATTGCATTCAGGAAAGGCAAATCCTTATCCTATTTGAATAACTACCTATCTGGTAAGAACAAAACACTGCACTTTCTATGATGGAAGTAGTCCAGTGTAATGAACCTGCCACTGTGTAGCTGATCACTTTGGGGAATGGTCCATACTGGGTGCCCAGCACTGGCCCCTGACGCTGGCAGATTGAGCACTCAGACATGACTGCAGCCAAGTTGCCCTGGATGCATGGAATCCCATGATGCTGAGCCCATACATAGCCTTCCTTCCCATCACCATGGCCACTTTGTGCAGGAGCTCATTAGGTGATGGCAGGGTTAGCTGAGGACAGAGGCTGACTCATATCCACAAAATGGGTCATCCTATCCAATGCTTATTAAAATCTTTCTCAATTGAGGTCAGTCTTTAGGAAGTATTCACATGGGATGCAAATATTGCATACAAATATGTTCACGTTGTTGCCAAACTTGCTGCTAGTCTTGAGGAGTAGATGTCTTTGTTAGTGATTTCAGTGCTTTGCTAGATATAAGATGCAAGAATTTGAGCTCACAAAATCTTCTCTTGAAAATACGTAACTATCTGAAGGCCTTCTCTGCTAGTTTATCACAGAGCACAGAGTGCCTCATTGCTGATCATTGCCCTGAACTCCTTTCTGAGTGTGTTGAAGGTCAGTGACTGCAGTGGCTAGTGACTTCATCCTTGTAAAGGCAGATGGCAAGTGATCAGTTTTATCTTGCAGTGGGTAATTTTGATAGAAGCATTGCATTCAGGAAAGGCAAATCCTTATCCTATTTGAATAACTACCTATCTGGTAAGAACAAAACACTGCACTTTCTATGATGGAAGTAGTCCAGTGTAATGAACCTGCCACTGTGTAGCTGATCACTTTGGGGAATGGTCCATACTGGGTGCCCAGCACTGGCCCCTGACGCTGGCAGATTGAGCACTCAGACATGACTGCAGCCAAGTTGCCCTGGATGCATGGAATCCCATGATGCTGAGCCCATACATAGCCTTCCTTCCCATCACCATGGCCACTTTGTGCAGGAGCTCATTAGGTGATGGCAGGGTTAGCTGAGGACAGAGGCTGACTCATATCCACAAAATGGGTCATCCTATCCAATGCTTATTAAAATCTTTCTCAATTGAGGTCAGTCTTTAGGAAGTATTCACATGGGATGCAAATATTGCATACAAATATGTTCACGTTGTTGCCAATTCAGAGAAGTCTATCCACATACCACACATGCCTACCTTCCCTTATCACCGATTTTCTAACTGTGTTCCTTTTGCTGGCCATCCAGCAAAATGATTGGCCACAGCATGTGCATCTGTACTTAATCCCACAGCTGGCCGTTTCTCCTTCCAAGCAAAGTAAACATGCAGTACATGCTGCCTGAAGTTCTATACATCGGGATGACTTCCTTCACTGTCTTTCAGGGATGTCTCAGGAAGGGGTTAGTGTCACAACTGTCCATTTGGGTGCCCACATATCATGCAGAACCATCCATAAACCAGGTCCAAGTATTCTTTTCCTCTGCTAACTGATGGTAGGAAATTCCCCCATGAGGATGTATGTGCAGACTGGAAGAGAGAGGATAGTTTGGCAAAGGTGTGGACTGTGGGCAGTTGAGCCACTTCTTCATGTAACTTACTGTGCCTTCAGGCCCTCTTTGGGTTTGATGACATGTGTACCATGTCCATGTGGTGATGGGGTGCTGCTGTGCATCCAGCTCATGATGGGCAGCTCAGGGTGTGTGGTTAAGCATGCAGCCTCTCTGAAGGCCCAGTAGCTGGCCAAAAGCTGTTTCTCAAATGGAGAGAAGTCCTTTGCAGAGGACGGCAGGGCTGTGCTCCACAATCGGAAGGACCTAAACAGCAATTCACCTATAGGAACCTCCCATATGCCCCACAGAGCATCTGTACCTGCCACTGAGACTTCAGGCACCACTGGATCTGCTGATCCTGTGGCCCAAGTAGCAGAGCAGCTTTCCCAGCAGCCTGAACCTGTTACAGAGTTTGTTTATTTGATTGTTTTTCTTTCTTGGACCCCACTCAAAACTAGCAGCTTTTCAGATCCCTTGGCAAATGGGCTGGAGTTACACACCCAAATGAGGACTGTGTTGCCTCCAAAATCTGAAGAGACACAGTATGCTAGATGCTGTATCTCTATTTCAGTTGTAGAAAGGGCCATATATAATAAGGTGTCTTTCCCTTAGAAGGGGTTCTCAGCATGCCTCACATGGCTGGACCTTCAGACCTTTCACTGGAGTTGAAAGCCCCTGAACTTTCTCAGGGCTTCCTTGGTGGCTCACATGATAAAGAATCTGCCTGCAATGCAGGATACCTGGATTCAGTCCCTGGGTCAGAAAGATCCCCTGGAGGAGGGCATGGCAACCCATTCCAGTACTCTTGGCTGAAAAATTCCATGGACAGAGGATCCTGGCAGTTACAGTCCATGGGGTCACATGAACTTTCTCAAATTTATTTATAGCTCTCTGACAAGAAAATGTCTTGCCAGTGAGTCTAGAGTTGTTTCTTCTTGCTCATTATGTCCAATCAGGATAAAGTCACCAGTGTAATGGGTCAGTGTGATATCTTGTTGAAGGAAAAGTGATTGAGCTTGGGTTAGAATTCAGTCCCTAATAGCTATAACTTGGAAATGATGTCCTTGTCGGAACATTTGCAGATGTAAATTTGATGTGCAAGACAGTTAGATTTAGGACTTTTCAGAGGCTGTACAATGGCTATGAATTACAGGAAGGAACCACTTCCTAATAACATTTTGTTTCCCTGCATCAGAAAATTGTTATAATAATATAATCTTGTTATTCCAAGGCTTGTACTTACTTTCTGTTGCAAAGTTGTTATTAAATATTTAGATCAGCAAAATCTACATAAATGAAGTATTTTAAAAATGGTTTCTTTGGGACTTCTGTGACCGTCCAGGGGTTAACACTCCATGCTTCCAACACAGGGAGTGTTTGATCCCAAGTTGTAGAACTAAGACCCCTTATGCCATGCTGCACAGCCAAAAATAAAATGGTACCTTTGTACAGGACACAGTGTAGCTGTATGTTGACCT